TTCTTTTATTAAACAAAATTTAGTAAAACACCACACAAAATAGTCCTTTATTAAAATTAGAAAGCAAACACTAACCTCTAATTTGTTGACAAATGTTGCCATGGTACTCAACACTTCAGGCTCCCGAGCATTGGGCACATTCCTTTGGTAGTCACCCAGCACAGCATCCAGTAATGGAGGAATAAAGTTATCACACACAAGCATGGCATCATTTGATTTGCTAACCCATGTAGAAATAAGTCTAAGGCTTTCTGTTTTTACTGTTCTCATCGCCCTTATAAGAGGCTGTTTTGTAACAATTTCACCATTTTCTGCTATTGCCACAGAAATGTTTTCACTAAGACAGCGGTAAACATTAAGCATATCCAAGTATATTCTCCCCAACTGAGTAACAAAAGGGTGTCCAATCGACTTGCAGCCTTGAACATTTGTTTTCAGAATGTTTCCAAGCTGTTTGACAACTTCTATTTCCCTCAAATGATCAATGTTCTGAAAAAAGGGAAACCATATATCTGTAAGTAAAAGTTGTTTGGTTTAGGCAAGAGATTTGTTACAAGTCATTAGAGACTGATGGTCACAGGGCTGTTGCAGCCAGTGCTTACTGTAGCACCAGAAAAAAAGGCACAATCACCAGCTGCATTTTCAGCTGGCAAAAAATTGACAGCAGAAGGGAGCAGGTGCCTCCTTTGAGCCACCCAAATTAAAATTTCAGTTGGTCGCCTAACTTCTTAGCTATACCCCTGTGATCAAAGCACCAACAGGTACAGCCAAGTTAGCATGCAACAAATTTTGAGCACTGTGATAAGAAATACTGTTATTGATAAGAGTACAGACCACACTATACCACTGTCCACTTTTTGTTTTTTAACCAATGCATCAATGTCAAATAAAAGAAATTCCTTCAGTGCACTACCATTGTGTGCACCCTTGCACTCTTGTGGACGACATCAAATTGGCCAATCAGTTTGCCACATCACTGCCAATTGTGTTAAAAAAACGTGACATAGATGTACAGTACTACAGTACATCTAGTTCAGTTTCTTTCATAACTTACCCTTTTTGCTTCTTTGACAATGTTGTCCCAGGCTTGATTTGGGAGTGACATGTACTTCTCAATTAATCTTTCCATGACCACAGAATCCTACAAATGATATGCAAAACTTTT